AAATCCTCCTAAAATAGGTTCTGGAAGAAAGAGTTAAATCCAGGCTGCCTTCCTAAATGCCAGAATACCCTTCCTGTGCTTAGCTCTGCTTTCAGACAGAAATATTGTTGTACCTAAACCCGACATTAAAAAAATAACCTGCTAGTGCTCTTGCATTACAGGACCAGTGAGCCTGGCAAGTCCAATTAGCACAAACGGTGACTGAGTCAGCTTTGCTATTGCTGATTGCGTCCTCTCAAGTTTTACTGTTGAATGTAAGGACTGAGAGCCCAAGATGGCTCTGTAAAGCATCAGTGAGTTACAGTCTTCAGTACAGAACTGCTACCACAAGTAGTGGTAGCTGTGTGTTCTCACATGAAAGGAGAACCTGGTCTTCGCTAACAGTTAAAAAGCACTCCCAGGTATTGACTCATCATGGCAGCAAAACTGCATGCTTATGCCCAGGAATGAATTCAAGAACTCTGCAGAGTCTCTGAAATAAATTGTTTATTTCAGGTGTAAAGTTGCTTACTTTGTTTCCCTTTTGATTAATCACTTGAAGACAGACCAAATGAACATGGAAGCGTATTTATTCTTTTTTTTTTTTTTTTAAAGAAAGTGGTATTCCGATTACAAGGACGTACAAACTCTCCTGAATTTTGCACTGAACTTTTACACACTTTTTTGCCTTACATATCAGGACTGAGATGCGACTGCCAGCTGAGTGAAGATTAGTATAGCACCTAATGGTCTGAGCAGCTCAAGTCGTCTATTCAGAGCATCTGGTAGCCTCATGAGGCCAGCGGTCTCAGCCTGTTATGTATTCCATATGCAGCGACTATCCAACATTCTGATGCTACTTCAGAATCACACTGGTAAAATGGAATTATGTGGTATTTATAAAACTCATATATATCATTACATAGTACAGTTAACATCAGCAGACAGCAGCTGACATATACTTGCCTAGTTTGAGAAAAGCTCTAGAACCGTGTATAATGCACCTCCATGTTCCATCTCATTTCAGGATGTGTGAATGGCAGCCGCACATGTACAGACTTTGACCCCCAAGAGGGACTTTGAAAACTGCTTAAGTCTGCTTATAATGCTCTTGACCAAAGAAGTGGTAGGTCTCTACATACTCTTCCCAGTATGGTCCCGAAGAGAAGATAAGGAGATCTTCTTTTGAAATGTTCTATTCAAATGGTACCTTTGTTTCTAACGAGTCTGGAAAAAGAGTGAGAGTGGAACCGAGAAAAGAGGTGGATGTTAATTAACAGCATGAATGACAATTCTGTGTATAAAGCATTTTTTAGTAGGTCATCAAGTCAGTGGAGTTATGCTGGAATACACGAACAAAAGACATAGTTTAATATATTCAGTTACACCAGAAATACTGTTAAATAAACATATCAATATCTGCAGACAGAAGTTCTCTTTGTATTTGTGAAATCAGAATTTCCCAACTATAGCTGAAAGAAAAGAAAAAAGCAGCACATTTTCACAACTTATAACGAGCTTCAAGCTCTTCGATAAATACTGGTCAAGACTGAATATCTGCACAGCTTTTTAACCAGCGTTGTTATTCTTCTTCATTAATTCAAGCATAATAATGTGGTCAGGAAGTCAGGTTTGGATTCACACCCACATATTCAACAGGCACATGAACTGTAGAAGAACCTGGCTGAAGAGGCATGCACGCTAGGCCACAAGGTCTTTCCTAAAGGACCACCCAAGCTCTGCTGAAGATGACTGAGAACATGCAGATAATGGCTATTTTTGAACTATTTGTTCTCATAAAGTTTTATTGAACATTCTTAGGTAGCCCGAGCAATTTATCGCACCCTGAAGCAGTACTTCCTGTCTCAACCAACCTGTAATCAATCCATTACTCATGTACAGCACGCTCGTTGTCCTTGTATTCAAACACCTCTTCACGCTTCTAACTCCTATCCTAGATTTCAGAGCTGTGCTAGGCATGGTATGTCTCAGTTCAAGAAACAAACTCAAATGAAAGAATGAGGCCACTAAACATTATGAAAGACTGACACAGAGGTATTTATAAAAGATCTAGTTTCACATACTTAGATGAATACAGTTGTAAAGATAAAACACAAGGCACTCTCTTCTTATATGCTGTATTCTATGAAGTAAGATCAAACTTTTCAAACAGTGTAATGGTAAAAGATGGCATGGAACCAGTTGTTTAAACTAGTTTTAAGCTTTATTACAGACTAGACCACAGTAAGGCTTGTATTTTTTGAGCAAGCGAGATAAAAGAGCACAAGAGACCAACTCAGTAGCTAAGGAACTATGGCTTTCCAGTGAAACGTGACTCAATTACGGTCCTTCATTTGATGAACATTTAATTATCTATACAAAAATGGGATGGCCTCACATTTGGAAATTGAGAGTAGCTTTCTCCCAGAATATTCTGCAGACAACTGATTAAGGACCTTTCCAGAAAGAGAGAATTGTCTTTTCTGTGAACTGCTCTAAATTATGGGTAGGAAGTATTTCACATCAGGTCTCTCAAATCCTGAATCTCTGTTGTAAAAGCTAAACCAGTGCTTATAAAGAATTTATAGACTTAATCTGGGGATGTGGATTCCAGTAGACAACAGGACACAGCAAAGTAAAACCTAAGTTCCCCTTCTTCGTGTTGCCCTAAGACCTTTCTAACGACGTGGATACATCCTGGCATGGTGAATAGATTTTAGCTTTTACAGAATCTGAGTAAATTTGCCAATTTTCATCCATGCTTTGCCCTTGGAGAACTAAGACATGGCATAACTGACTTGCACAAAGAAAGTCTGCAGCTGCATTTAAAATTTAGTGGTTCTGAGCCCCTTTCTTCTATTGTATGCATCGGACTGTTGTACAGCTTATGCACTTTATTTGCAGACTTTTTTACCTGGCATCTGTCACCTCAAACAAAGCACATGTGTCTTTTTAGGGAAGACGAATAGCCAATTGTATGTTAAACACATACGATACATTTTTTAAATTCCCCTTTATTTTCAAGTTTTTTAATTCATATTGAAGGATTCCGCTCCCTGGTCTTCTTAGGAATTGTCATTGACGAGTTGCCTGTAGTGCTGGAGATTCTTGTATTCAAGAGACTTTTTTAAAATTTGGAGCACACTTTGGAACTGAATATGCTGTATGTTCACTTTCTCAATAGAAAACCTGTATTTTAATAGATACCTAGTTTAGATCACAATATACTAAAAATGAGCTCTGTGAACAGACACGATAGTGGTATTTATTTAACTGTTCTGAATTTAAGATTAGCATTTAGACCAACATATGGAAATAGAATGCTGATGATTCTTTTTTTTTTTGCAAGTATCGACAGGGGGATCTCACAAAACTGTATGTTTATAGATTCCTGGTGATTTTAAAGAGGCCTTTTTTGATATATCTACATTGTATTTTGAACTTCTGTCTATCAAACACAGAAGCTGTATTTTTGGGATGATGTTTAAATCACAGAGCAATCTTCTGATCCACTAGTGGAACAGCTTCCTCCTTCCGATCACATCTGGAAAACAGTAGAGTGAAAGGAAAGAACAAATACTTTCTTCCTCACCATACTCAAAATTACTTTTTATCAGAAACATGTAGAAGTGCTATTTCATGTCCTGTTTGGGGTAGTCAACGTAGTGATGGTGTCACGACAGGTTTGCCTTTAATCTTTTACAGAAAAATGTGGTAGAACATAGTGCTACCGCTTTACAGACAACATTTAGCGACTTGTAACAGAAGGCAGCACCAGAAAATCACCACTTGTCCAGATACATGACAAGTACTGCTCTTCAAAACAGACAAGAATATCTTTCTTTTGTGCCATGCCTCTTTGCTGCATCAGATGTTGCTTCATGTTGTTATTAAGTGACGAAAAAAAGAAAAAAAAAGGAAATAAAGAACGCACTCTGCCTCCATTGAGAAATCCTGGTGCCCTCAATTAAGTGTTTTTCTACAGGATTTGAAGCATGGGAAAAAAAATTCCTAATAGCATTAAAACGCCATGCAAAAATACCACTTCTTCTATTGCTTTCTTTGTATCTGTCACAAGCATTTGCATTATGCCTGTCACTATCGCATCTTACACCAGATACTTTTTTTAAAAAACATGAAATTCCAGAAAAGATCGCACTCAGCAAGGATGCCTTCAAGACGACTATTCTGCTGATCACCACTGAACGTAATACTGAGGTTGTGACAGTGTCTTCTTGAAGCATAACTGAACTAAATGTAATGTTCTGGACAGGGACTGAAGTACTGGAACTTGTACTGAAGATAGATTCTCGTTCTGCTGCATCAATACCAGGTTTTGGAAAAACCACAAAAAAATTCATCCAGTTTTCAAGAATATTATTACAGGAAATGTAGAAGAATATTCTTCTGTTTATGTCCTATGCATAATCTTTTTTATTGAAGCATTAACAATAAAACGCCAGATCCTATTGTTCTCCCAGTGAAGACACACAGATTTCTACCTACCAAGGATATAGGTAGGCATTCTCAATTTCTGTACATGTAATTACGGGCAGTTCTGCTTTAATTAGGTAGCTTGCCAATCATTCCATCATGTTTTCTTTTAAGAAAAAAATAGAACATTTTTTTCCAATTAATCCACATTCTCAACTGTGATTTTAGTTATTTCCAATTGCTAACAACCTATCACATCAATAAGACTACCAGTAATCCAGCAAGTCTGGGTTATATTTTCTTTTAATTTGTGCTCCCAAGAAGATTAATGAAATTCTTCTTCATGCTATTCAGTTTTAAACGAGCATACCAGTCCATAGGCTCTTACTAAAATTTATGGTCATATTTCTGATCTCTAAAAATTATGTATGTGTGTTTTGGATAAAGTTGTACATTATCTGTGCCATGGCAAGGATGCATTCCCTGGCTGAGTATTCTGACATAAAAAAATGTGTCATGTAGAAGTTTGGTAAGTAAGTGTGCAGTTTCACACTTATTTCATTTATCGCAGTGGGGTAATAAACTAGATTTTTCCTCATTCTGCTTCTGTCTGCATGTTACACACATAAGCAAGATAAAAGAAAAACTGACCACTACTCCAGGACTCTGTGGGCATCTAATACTGCCTCAGAGATGAGTTCCTCATAGGTATGGAAGACATATAAACAACCACTTCTTATTTTGTTAAGATCGTTGCTCTACGTCTGCAACAATTAAGGATTATTCATAGCAAGCCAAATTCTATACACTTCAAACAGAAATTTTTTCGAATAAACTCTGCAAGATGCAGGTTTTAGGTTGGACTACCATGACTGTCCACTATCTGCCTTTTTCACAGCATCTCACCAAACAGTCCGTAGCCACATTCGTCCTAACCTTCCTAGGCTTTTGCCTTCTTTCTTTTTCACTATTTCTCTCACTTCCCATATCCAGCATAGGCAGAAGCAACACTCGGGACACGGATGGACAGAGCTAAAGCGGGCCTGAGGGTAAGCGTAGAGCACATACCGTCTCCTGCTGGTTTCACAGAATATCCTCAACCTCTAGTAACTTTACAAACTGCCCAGGCTTCCCCAAGGGATGCCAGGCTGAAGGGGACGCGTGGGCCAGTGCTGCGGGATAGTCACAGAACCTCACTGTCCTGTCAATTCTCTACAACACTCCCCTCCCCCCTCCCCCCCATTTTTTGGGACAGTTCTTCACCTGACTCCAATGAAATGATTTAAAACAATCTCCACTGAGAAGTCCATGTGGAATTTTTAAATTAAAAGTGCCATAGTCTAGCTTCTTACTCTGGTGGATACATTCTGGAACATTTTAATTCCTGCAATGATCTGACAATAACTAAATTATTTGGGTTAAAATAATGCACCCTTATTTCAAATACAATCTCATATCACAATATATCTGTCAATAGAGGAAAGAATTTATTAGAAATCAAATAAATAGCACATGCCACTATGTTACTTGTTATTTATATTACTAAAAGTAAAGTTTCACGTGGACAATGTTCTGCATTATATTTACTTTTGCAGACGTGTTTTAGAAACAATTTCACAACCCTCCCTCCTCGTCCTTTGTACGTACTTTGCTAACGGCTATTGATTGACTGCTTAAAAGCAAATAGTGAAATTTAACTGAGCATGAGTTACACAAATGGCATGTGTCCTGCATCTATAAAAGCAATTATTTCCAATTGAGTTTACTTAACTCTACATCTTGTGATTACAAGACGAGAGATAAAAGAGAGTAACGTCTAAGGCGGATTCTGGCACTGTCATTTGGTTAACAATAATTTTCGCAATAAACTTCATCAGTTATACAGTTGAAGAAATAAGAGAGAAGACCTGTTAGGGTGGATTCTAAGTTTCTCATCGGCAGTGCTTTATACCCTAGGAAACGGAGGCAGAGGAGCTTTATGCCATCTGCTCCATCCCGACCCTACCCGCGGGCTGCTGCATGGGCTAACTCCGACGAAGGCAGCAGACTTCGACTTTGCAGGACCCGCTGTCCTGGCCAGGATCTCCGAAGCTCTCCCCGCTCAAACTCCTGCAGCCCTCCCGCGTCAGGGAAGGTGGCAGAAGGCAGAGATAAGCAGTACATCTACCTTGCTGAAGCAGGTGACTGCCAAGTCACCTGCTCAGGGAATTACGAAAGCGGCCCAGGCTACGGACCTCACTGGTGCGGCTACTGAACCCACCTTGCACGAGGGTTTATTCTGCATAATTGCAAAATAAACGATTCTCAAATAATCCATGCAGACCTGTTTCTAACCATGTCAGATAAGGTACTTCTAGAATTTCCTGGGGCATATTTCTGCAATCTCTATGTGCATTTAGCCTTTAAAAGAGGGGAAAAAAAAAAAAGAAAAAATAAATAAAAGGGGAAAAAAAAGCCTAGTGGAATTCAGTTTAGCTGTATTTCAGACTAATAGTCCCTCATTTAAACTGCCGTAAAGATTCTTTTTCTCTACGCTTCCCTCTATTTCTCTTGCAAATTTACTTTCTCTTTGCAAGGGAAGAAGCAATGTAGGAGAAAATTCTGTCACTTCTGCACGTTAGCTTTCCTGGCTGAATGACGGGTGCCATTTGCATACTTTGAAATACTTTCAAGATGCAAGGAAGTTTAAAGACTGGTTTAGTATCTGATTAGGATAGTATCTGATGTTTAGTGGCTTAAATAAATGGCAGATCTCAGAAAGGTCTCTTTGCAGTTTAAAAGTAATGGGAGAAAAATGCGACACTAACAGGGTTAATGGCAGAACACATTCCTAAAAACTGCATTTTTTTTTTTATATTCTAAAACCAAACACAAATTCCCGTGACTGAGATCTGCATGTATAGACTTAACTCCCTGTATTCAGTGGGAAACAAGTATTTTATCTATAAGCAGTCACCTAAATTTACCATACGTGCATTGAGAAGAAGACACAGATTTTTATTACCCATATTAACTGGCAAACTTATGATTTTTTAATTGCAAAGTCATTTTATTTCTCTTTGAAACTTCTTTAGTAGAACAAGTATCTAGGAATTCCATCGCTTTTCTTGAAAGTCTTAGAATAACAGGCTGTATTTCCAATGTCATCATTAAATTGATCTCATGCTTTACATAAAACTGTGTGACATTGAAATGTGCAAACGTGCACTCAGCCTTGGCTCTGTAACACCGTACCTGACGGTTCAAACATACAGCTGGGGCCCACAAGTTGTATTTTGTCACACTGATGCTAGGTAACTTTTAGAAAATTACACCCTCCCGTCAAAAAAGAATAAAATATTCTACTGTTGAATGGTATAAATCTAATTTAACTGAATGTTTTTTCAGGAATTCCTAAATTCTATGGCCAGACGGAACTTGTAAGAAAGGACACTATGTTTCAGTCTTTACCACTCCAAGCCCTGTTTCAATATTTTATGCACACGAATTCCTTTTCAGAAGTACTGATCTTCCACATCTACAATAAAAAGTGTAAGGTTCATGTTTCGCCCATTTGAAGACTGTCCTAATGCAGTTTTCTTCCTTATACAGCAGCAAAATAATCAGGAACAATTACAAGATGCGATAACTATTCTTTAAGCACTGTAATAAGCATGCATGTCTCAGACTAGTCTTTTTCATCTTATTTGGCCACGAGGTACTTCAGGGTATTTCAGACATTTCCATAACCACATCTATTGCCTATTTCCAAGGGCTTACTTTTCAAAGCATTATCCTACCAAAATTTTAAAAATTCCCATCTGAGCCTCATAATACATTGTTGAGAAGTTAGTGCAATGCGCATCGGAAACAGAAGGAGAAGAAGAAAATGTACTTTACATATAACATAAACTTTTCAATACACAGCTAGGCAAAGCTAGAAGGAAAATCAAAATGTGCTTTCAGTGTCCATTACGATGCAACATCTGAATTTACAGGAGTTTCCTGTCTGATTATAATAACACACTCAAAATTAAACACATAAATACTAATTTTATGTATCACATAAGATGAAGACAATGAACAAAATGTTTACATTTATGGTTGACTCATTAGTGTTTTATTATGTGAAACACTAGGAGGCATCAGTTGGGTAAAAAAAAAAAAAAAGAGTTCTTCTTTTGAAAAATGGTAAGAAATTAGCATAGAAGTTATCAGCTTGGAAGTTTCATACTTCCAAATGTTAAAGGCTGTATGTTATAACTAAATTATGCAAATAGCTGAAACTCTCTAGTCTCACTGACAAATGACATATTTAATAATACAGGGACAACATTTAATATCCTAACTCTTTTCAAACCAGACTACTATGTTCACATACGCAACACGAAGTGTAGTTTTGTATCACATTACATTTTTAAAAATAACAGAACACAGGTAAACTAAGATGACTTACTTGTTCCTCAGTACTATACTTTCTGATAAATCTGCAAAGTCCTGACATGTTTTATGCACTCTCCTCTGCACGTAAGCTCTTAACAGGGTAAATGCAGTGAATTTAGTATAGTCCTAGGCACTTTTAAGAACTTTTAATCGCTATTACAGGGTATCACCTAGGCAAAGATGTTTTTAAAAAATGCCAGGACAATCATCTACTACATTTTAAATGTATTTCCCCAAACTGGTGATTTAAACAGCTTTTTTTTAAAATTTGTATCACAATGCTACAAGTGGCTTTACCTTTTACTATAAAGTCATACAAAACCAATAATGTCAAAATTGAGCTTTCCTTCCTTCAAATTGCATTTAACAATGACTAAGCAACAGAGTTATAGTTGTCTTATAAAATAATCAATTGAAATTGAAGTGTGCCTCGCCATGCTGCAGCAATCGGCTTTTATCTCTGCCCAATCAAAATGACATGTGAACTGCCTAATCCTTCTTTTGTAAGGCACATAAGACTTTGTTGTCACTATTGGTTTTGTGAATCGCCTCTATAAGCTGGTCTGATTTCCTAAAGATGACAGATCCTGGTGAACAGACAAGCTCTACTGCACTGCAGTCAATGAGACAGTGAGATTAAAGGGGAGGACTGAAGACACTGGCTTTTAATCACCTGTCCACATACAACGTTGACCATCAGTTCTGAGAAAATTACCTTAGAGCTGGTCAGAGGACCCAAATGATTCATTTTAAAAAAAGAAAATTAAACATTTTAATTTTTCACTTGCACCATCAGTTCTGTTTGCTGACCAGAGTTCTTCTAAGCCCATTTTGTTTCTGAAATATGATGTGAAACTGTATTTTCATCCTTTTCAAATGCCCGAATACTAACATCTCAAGCTTGAAGTTGTCTTGGTGTTTGGAATTACATATATATATTTTTTTTTTGTATTTTATACTTAAGGGGCTATAGAGCCTAAATGAGGACGTAGGAAAATCTCTCTACTGTATCATATAGCAAAGTTTAAAAATCTTAATATACCTCACAAACATGACTGCTTTGGTTATTCTTCAAAATGCTAAAGCAGAGGCTATAAACTCTCTGAAATTATGCAGCACCTTATTTATGTTCACTTTCGTAATCAGTGTTTTCAAAAGAATACCACTACATCTTACTTGATTTTTGGATAAATTATTATGTCAATTAGAATACTGATATCCAACAGGTAAAAATGGAGCCCGCACATCAAAACTGAAATGCTTATTCTTTCAAGCACCTAACAGCAGTTAATTACTTCTTGCTCAATGAGATGTGGAAATCTCCTAAGCTGTCTCTGAAGATGAACTATTCTAGTGAACAATAAATTAACCGGTTACAGTGAAAAGTAAAATTCAAAGGAATGAAGTTGGCAAAAGTATTCTATTCACAACTCCTGCTCAGTTCCTAACCTTCTATGTAGCTATATTTATCTATTAAATAGTGAGCTATCAAAAACTTTCGTAGATAAACTTTTGGAAGAAGCTTCAGAAAGCTTCATTCCTCTTTGTCTGTTGTATTTTAGATGTTTTAAAAAAAAGAACCATTTAAGAGAGGCATCTCTGTTTTTGAATACACATTTTTCAGGTACACAAATTAAAGAGCGTGCATAAAAAAGTAAGAAAAATTGTATGATCCTATATTGAAAGAAAATTCACAGTAAGAAAGTATGTGTATGAATTTTCTTACGACTCTGCAAAACTAGCAGCTCAGGAACATAACTCTAAATGACATAATCTCACACACAATTCATCATTTAGTACCAATTTCTGTAAGGCTCTTAAGCCTAAGTTTCCTTTTTTTCTTGGCCAAGTAATCTTAAGAGGATACAGACATACCTGATTCCTGCGTTCATTACAGGACATCGAAAGTGACATTCTCTGCATCCCTGTCCTAAGAGACCTACGGGACAGGCAAGCGGTTTAGGTCTCCTAGGGGCCTGATCCTGCAAATCGCAATTCCTGTGACTTGCTCGCTTTCACAGAAGTAGTCTCAGCGTTGTCAGTGGGACTAGCTGTGTAAGTACTGTTTGCATGAAAGAAGGTTTCCTTGTTCAGGTCCCAGAACTATCTTCTCATACTAGCTATGCAGGGCATATTAGCAAAAATATACACAAACAGCAAGTTTTGAAAATAAGAGGTTTTGTGCTACAAGAACACAGACACCCTGAATTGAGGGCCATTCACTTACGTTCCTCTTCAAAGAATTTTCCCGTGACTTCCAAAGGGACTTAAGTGTGAGCAGATACTTCAGTATTAGACTCGATATAATTACACGTTCATTAATACAGAAAGAATAATATAACAGGCATTTTAATAAAACCAATAAGGGAAGAAAGTCATGCTCATTTTTTGGCTTCAAGTTAGGTACATAAAATCACGCAACAAAAATAGTTTGCAAAATAACAAATCCCCAGAGTGGCCATGTGCCTGAGCAGTTGAATGGAAATCGGTATGTATGTAATGCAGAGGTTAGAAACTGGTTCACAGGTGGTTATAGTTCCATGCCCTGCCAAGCCCCTAGGGATCAGAGTTACTATACTCCACACAAACATCTTTACTCTTCAACCACAATACCCGGGAAAGTGCCAATAAAAGAAATCTAGTCACATTTGCATCTAATATAATTGGTTTATCACCCATCTTGTAGCTCTTTTAAAGTAAAGATAGGAAACTAGGACATTTGCCGTTAAGCTGATTGTCAGATACGAACTAGGAAAATGCATTTTGTGTCAAGACAAAAGACAATTCTTTTCTCATCACCAGTAAAATACTGGCAAAATGCCCTTCTCTGCTTAATTCGCTGAATCTTTAGTCTTAAGTTGTATTAGAGTGTTCAATTTCAGGATACAGGTATTTGCGAATAATAATTGCCATACAGAGTAAAGAAAACAGAACTCCTCCATAAAACACAATGCTTAGGTTCCCACAATGATTAAGTTTTGTTTTGCATTGTGCTGTCTTCTTTTTTTTTTTTTTTAGAAACAGAAGTATTAGCTTGGCTTTCTACTTGTTCTGTTTTCCAGGCTGACAGAAGGTCACACTAAGTTTTTAAGTATTACAGTTACATAATGCACAAACAGTCTTTTAAGTCTCTCATTTACATTAAAGTTTATCTTAGCCTGGAAGTAACTGTACTGCAACTAAACTGGCCAGTTTTGTGAGGCTGATTAGCTCTACTCCCCTCGTGTTAAAAAAGGTAAAGATTGCTCAAAGTGCAGTGTAAAGACCGAAGCATACTATTCCATAAGAGGTCTGCAGCTGTGACTTAAATTCCCACCTCAATGCAAGGGGTCCTTCCATCTCAAACGCGAAGTATTGAAATGAAAGATGCACAGAGTTAAACTCCGGGAAGCATGCATTACCCAAACTCCAGAGCTGGAGAGCCTACGACGCGACGAAGTTTAAGAGCACTTCACTCAGACTGGATCGTTTCCTCAGTCTGATAAATCAGGGTGCACGCACGACACGGTCATGGCATTTGGTGAACTGCTCAGACCAAATCAGCTTCGAGCACTTCACGATATCAAGCACACAAATGATGTAAACTAAGTTCACCAAAGTTTAAACACTGAAGACACTGATAGAGACAAGTCAGAAATAATTTACCAGACAGTGATTTAACTACGTTACCTGTCTAAAAAGTTACTTTTAAGCAACTGACAGTGCAATCACACACTTTCAGGAGTTGGCAAGCAACCTCAGTCCCAGTCCACACACAACGACCGGTAACATTCTCCAAACCCAACAGGAAACGCAAACAGGGCTTTCGTACCATGCCCACGATCTTTTATTCCGGTGCTGAATTTCACATGTACTTACATTATAAACATTTAGCTGTTTGGATGATCAGACTAGTCCTTGAGATATTTTCCTTTCATAGGAAAAAGAAGAAGAAGAAGAAGAAGAAAAAAAAAAATCCCTTTACTTCTTCTTCCAGCCTTAAATATTCACCACCTGGATCGACACGCAGCCTCCTCGAATGGCACACACAACCTTCAAAGTCAATCCAATAAGCAGCCAGAAGATGTCTGGGGTGTGCGTGGTGTGTGTGTGTGTGCAGCCCGGAGGAGGAGGAGGAGGATGAGGAGGGAGGAGGAGGAGGAGGAAGAGGAGGAGGAGAAAGTGGCGGAGCTGCTCGATCGGATTCAAAGTAACCGGACTCGTCCCGAAAGCGTCCAGGAAGGAAGTGACAGCAGGCGAGTGGGGAGCGGCGAGGCGCTCACGGCACTTGTA